ATGTGCTTGAACGTACCATGTGTCTTTAACAGAACCAGGAACGTTCCAATGAAATTTTTATGGAGTGGCTGCCGAAGATTCGCGGGAATCAATTGGAAAAAGTCAAAAAACTAGAGGAACTCTAGAACTTCGAAACGGGCATACCTATAAGTAAACGTTGCGCTGGGCCGAAGAATGATATACTCGTCACCTATACCAACTGAGATTCTTCAGAAGGGACCCCGGAAAAGGAGAAAGCTCAACTGCTGATCGGTGTGGCCATTAGTGGGCGTGTCGTTTTTGGTGGAAGTATGGATGGATATATCAGGCTCTCCTGAGGCGCTTAGACACTGCTTTTCGTTGAAAAAGACAGCATGTAAGGCTTACTCAGAGGGATGAGGCAGTTTTTGTGATCGGGGTAACCATCGTACAAACCTAAGGGATTCATCGTGCCCTTTGCACTCAAGGAAATTTCTGTGACGACTTACTACAACATTTTCCGGCACAACAGTTATAAAATCGTCTCGATCGTAGCGTGACATGGTGTGGAAAAGTCCAAGAGCATGACCGAGTTCATGAGTAGCAATTGCAGCCTCAAGCGACTTATTATGATCATTAAGTAACACGTATAACTTTGAAGTTATTCTAGACTGCCGTCAGATTGGATTGATGTGGGATAATGCATTTTGCGTGTCCCAAAGACGTTTGGGTTACTCTGTATGTTCTAATTGAATACCATATGGAAATTCACAAGTTACGCACGAAATTTCCTAGAAGTCTAGCAAGGTCCTACCTGTTCACACCCCCAGCCAAGCGAAAGCGGTTGCTCGCCACCAAGTCGGCCCACATAAGACCAACACCCATTCGCTTTGATTAACACAATGCTGTTTTCAGCTGAAATTCCAGCTTATCAGGGGTTGCTTCGTGTACGGTATAGTTCATATTGTGGCAGTCAATCAGAGCGTTGTTAGGAGAGGCGGAGCGAGCCCGTCTCTGCTCTACCAATAGCGACCGGATATTGGTCGATTTAGAAAGAAAACAACCAGTGGTAGAAACGTTGCGCGTGGGCTTATCCATTGCTCCTTCACACCGCCCCGGAAGATTGCCACAACACCATGTAAATTAACCTTTTCTGTCTTTATCTTCGGTGAAATTCACGCAAGACGCTTCTTCCCATTGTTGGGCTCCTAATACGAACATTCGCCTTGTATGGTTGTCTGTAATTTCCATTTTTAGGATTTCGAAATTAATCGAAGTTCTCAGGTAAGCGAAGGTTTGATACAACCTGCACTGGCGTCGAATCGGTAAAATATCCCATCAGTCCAGGTTGTATTAGGATAATATTCGTTTCTGAATGCCTGTCTCTTCTCTCGGTTGCCCGTTTCATCGACACTTTCCATAACTTCTTCTAGCTGTCTCCTGAGAAAAAAAAGCAGTTCATCTGGTCGTTCGCTATTGATCGTGTTCTCTGGGTCTACTGCGTGTCAAAAGACCAAGAAAAAAACAAGCAAATGTTCGTATGTTCGCTGCAGATGCTGGCGCGTGTCAGGAGGGCTAGGTTTGACCCGGCACCAGCCCGTTCTCCACTAGCAAGCGAAGATGGCAGGCGACCACAGTTGGTGTATAACTGGAGTAATGTCGCGCGAAACTGGACCAACCCCTTCTGACACGCCCCATAAGTTAAGCTCTCTAGAGCGCACAAGCCCTCGCCGCACCTAGAGCCCGATGGTGGGTGCGCAACTTGAACGCAAATCAGCAGCTGCGAAAAAAGAAGGAAGCAGTGCAGTTCTGAGTTGATCCATTAAAGGTGAGCAGGATGGCTAGGCGCAGGCGGTTGTTGCTAACATCATAGGAGGAAGAGCCTAGTGGGGTGCGGCCAAAGGCCCTCTTGCAGCCCTTTCACCAATGACGCTAGCAACAAGCGCCCACATCCAGCGATCCTGCCCACTGCCTTTATAGTTGGACTTGATGTGACTCCATTTGTTTATCCCCATAAACCAGAAGTCCTCTGTGTGTCTGTGTGTCTGTCTGCGTGTCTGTCCGGAAATTCGGCGTTACCGGAAGGGTCAGTTTGAGGGGCATGGTCAAGGGTGAGATAGGTAGGGCATGGGCCAAGATGTACGGAACACACATTAACTGAGCTAAGCCCCGCCCACTGTGGGCGGGGCGTGCGCACAGTTGTGAGCTACATATTTTCAAAAATTCGTAGTTCGGTTCCAAAAGAGCCCGGAGAGTGGAAAAAGTGGCAAACGATAGGCAATTAGTTGGCGGACGAAATAAGGGGGGTACATTCACAGTGGGCGGTGCTTGCCACAAAATGTTTGGGAACTCGTAAATCGGTTCAAAAGAGCCCGGAGAGTGAAAAATGTGGCAAACGATAGGAAATCAGTTGACGGACGGAACGCGAAAGGTACACCCATTTGCTACGAAAACTTCAGAACTTCATAAATCGGTTCCAAGGGAGCCCGGAGAGTGAAAAAAGTGGGAAATGGTAGAGAATGAATGGATGGACGGGGCTCGGGTCAGAATTTCGTATTAGCATTAGCAGTAACTGCATTGGACGAAGCTTCGGTCACAGTACTAAATACCTCCACTACAACTTGGCGAACTATCATTTCTTCCGAATACAGCCGGCTTCGCTGTGGTATGATAATCTAATAGGTTGTACGTACCTACACTTAACAGCTGGAAGCATCCGTACACCACGAAAATACTGCTCTACGACTACAAATTCTAGACACATCAACGCGTTCTCAGGACTTCACGTAGGATATGAAAAAGTCAGAGAACTGAATACGGGGAGGGGGCGAAGGGGCGGGGGCATATACGGTGAATGAAACGGTAAAACATGGAAATTTTTGAAAATTTTCCAGGCAGTATGGCCGGCAAAGCCATCCGATCCGACTGGCCCTCTACTTTTTAGAAATGTATGGGGGGAGAGTCACTTCACACGCGGAAGGAGGATCAGCCGAAGCCCGCCGATCCAACTGAAAAGAGATGAAGAACTCACTTGGTTAGGAGGATATCGCTCTGGAAGAGTTCCCTGCCGACATTTTGTCCCGCATTAATCGCGAATATCGTGTCTTCCTCATTATCAATAGAATCATCTCTTCTCGCTTCGACTTCCTTAACAACTTGTACCATCAGCTATTTGACTCATTTGACTGTCTCTGTTGAGAGCAACCTGCCTACCTTGAGCTTTTCCTGGATCTCTGCCGTCTTAACCTTTGAGAGTTCGAGCTTCTTCATGACTTTGCTTCTCACCTCGGTCAGCTTCTTTCCAAGTGTAAGGATGCCAGTTTTTTCGAAGAGCTTCAATGGTAGCTCATCTTCACGTTTTTTTCTTTTCCTTTTTTTCTTACGAAATCTCCATCAGCACTCACCTTTTTGAACTTCGTCATGGTTTTTTCCTTGACTTTTTCGAAGATAGAAGGAACTTTCCCCTTGAAGAATTCCTTTACTTTGCCTGCATCCAGCAGCCCTGCTTGGGTTGACACAGTGAGGATGAGGAGCAAAAGAATCAGTCTCATATCTGAATGACAAAAACATGAGTTTGTAGAGAGGAATGTAACAGTATTGAGAGGTGCCTTTCAAGAAGGAAATACCCTCAAGTGATGAGTGGAGCAGTTCTCACCTAATATATCGCGGGACCAGAATTCTGAAGCGTTTAAACATCTGTCAAAAGGACATTACCATATTAAAAAAGGCATTTTTTTCCACTTTAGTGTGACCGTCCGACATTCATTTGCACATCTCCTACATCAAGATCAGACTCACGTCATCGGATGTTCGTGGTGGAGTAGGCCGGTTGAGAATGCCTGAAATTGTACTGCGCTTATTGTAGGCCCGTCTCAATGTTCTGAATTTGCTTTACATTTGTTAACTGAAGAATGCGAGTCTCTGGCGTGGGGAAGCTCTGGATCACTCATGATAGTGTGGGTGTCAGCACTATACAACTCCTGAAATCAAAAAGTTCCACCAAAGAAAGTCCGCTAAAAAAAGAATCCGAAAAGTTGTTCGGCCCTTTTTCGACACAACTGGATGGTCAAGCAGCAATAAAACCGAAGACCTTCGCTCTGGTACCA